ATCCATTCATCTACTGAGGGGCATCTGGGTTGGTTCCATATCTTAGCTATGGTAAATAATGCTGCAATAAACATAGTCTTGCTGGTAGCTTTAGTGTGGTCTTGTTTGTGGTCATTTGGGTAAATGCCCAGAAGTGGGATTTCTCCGTCATAGGGAAGCTATAATCATCTACCAAAAAGGACTGACAAATGAGCCCCAGAAACAAAATAAATTAAACTTCTGTGGATTAGTCTAGAGGCTGGGCCAGTTAACCCTTATTTTTGTAGTAAATTTTTAGCCAGCTTGAACCAAGTTACAAACATATTGGGCAACAGGAAGTCTAAAATACACATCAGCATTTTATTTTTAAAGCTTTGCAGTTTGAGTTTGCTTCCCTTTTCTTTATATCTTATTTATTGAAAGAAGGAAAAAAAAGTCAAACAAGATGTAATCCAAAAAGAGCAAAACTGTGGAGTCTTGGCATGAAGAGAGCAAAAACAATCAGTTGACTTTAAGTGGCAGGTATCCACACTAAACTTAAAGTGTTTTCTTGGAAGTGGAGCTGTGGGTTAAGTGTAGAGTGTCAACCTTGAGCGAACAAAACAAAGGAACAATACTCAATGCCCTGAGTTTAATACATAAAAGAGATCCTTTCACTTCAAGAAATTGAATTCACCTATGGAATATAGTTGCATCGTATTTAAGGCCTGTAACCAATCTATGCAACACTTTTCTTATTAACGGGCATTATTTCCAAATATTTAGCATGATTATTAATCTCTGGTAACTATAAACAATACAACAACATACACAAATATATAACAGAGATGAAAATACGTAACAGAGATCCTTTCACTTCAAGAAATTGAATTCACCTATGGAATATAGTTGCATGGTATCTAAGGCCTATAAAAAAATCTATCCAACACTTTTCTCATTAATGGACATTATTTCCAAATAGTTAACATGATTATTATTTTCTGATACTGTAAACAATACAGCACGCGCGCACACACACACACACACACACACACACAAAGTTTTCTTTCTTTCCAGATCAGATCTATAACTTCTTAGGTCATAATAAGGAAATATTTAAAATATTCCATTTACATCTGAAGTCAAAAAGACATAGATGATTTATATATTACTTTTGTTTGCACTGTACACCTTTTAACATTCTTAGAGTAGATAGATTAGATGATAGATGTTAGATTTATAGAAGATAGGTAAGTAACACATAGATTAGATTGTTATTCAGATGAATAATGTTAGTACTTATGATAAAGATTAAAGAAACTGGGGATGGGGGGAGAAAGGACCTTTGATCTATGATAATTCTCATTTGTTCCTATCTCTTTTTCCTTTGGTCCTTATATTTAATGACACATAATTGTGTGTGTGAATGTGTTATAGGGTTTATTTCTATTAAATTATCTACATTTCTTCTCAATTGCATTTTCATGATGCCATGTCATTTTCCTCAACCTGATATTTTCTTGAATATACATAACAGAGATCCTTTTACTTCAAGAAATTGGATTAACCTATGGAATACACTTGCATGGTATTTAAGGCCTATAACAAATCTATGCAACACTTTTCTCATTAATGGATATTTTTTCCAAATACTTAACATGATTATTATTCTCTGATACTGTAAACAATATAGCAATGATTTTCTTTTTCATTACTGATGTTTGAATTCAGGACCTTTGTGCTTACTAGGCAGGCAGTTTACCATAAGCAAGCCTGTTTTAACTGGTTATTTTTGACATCAGGTCTCACTTCCTGCTTGACTCTGTGCCTGAGCTTTGATCTGGCTATTTTAGGTTTCCTGTAATAGCTACAATAACAAATTCAGAACCTTATGCCAGCTCTTGGTTGAAAGCAGTCTGAATGTTTCTGCCTTGGATGACCCCACACTGCAATCCTCCTTATTTCAGCCTCCCACATGGCCAGGATTACTAGCATGAGCCACTGACAAGCCACTTGAGACACTGGCATTTTGCTAAGAAATTTTCAACATAATCCCTACTTTGTTTTCTATAGTAAAATACCCTACTTTTGTTTCTATAGTAACTAGTTGCTAAATTGCAAAACCTTATGTTGTTCAGTGCTGAAAACCTTTCTTCTGAATATTTTAAATATTAAAAGTCAAGTTGTTTAAAATACATTGAAATGTGTCTAGTGATTAATATTTAAATATATAATTTTTATCTGTGCTTACATAGCACCAATGAACAGGTGTAAGGGGTGATCTAATTCAACTGTATTTTCATCTAGTCAATAGTACCAGCACCTAAACATATCCAGTCATTAAGCACTTCATAAGTAAGCCTTATTGTCTTTCAACTTTCAATACCAAATTTATATTTGTTGAATTCCCAGGAATAATGGATATTTGGTTTTCTTTCCTTCTACCAATTTACTTAAAGGTATGTTCTCTCACTATTTTCTTTTCATATTATTTCTCAGATATTTTTCTCTCCAAATGAATTTTATTATCACTCTACTTGTTTCCAAAATACTTTAGCACTTTGAAAATTACATATTTTTGAGCTCTTTCCCTATGTTTTTTATGTGATGTGCATTTGGTTTATCTAAATTTTGGATGTTAAATTATCTTTTCAAAAGATATTACTTTTATTCAACAGAAATAAGTATAACCAATATTTTATTTGCACTATTAACTATATAAAGTTGAATAGTAAGTACAATTTTGCATCAGGAAAACAGGCTAAATGTATGAAGGCAATGTAGTCTTGTAAATATTAAAGCTTATCTCAAGAGTTTACTTAAATAAAAGATTAAATAGCTGTTAACAGTGATGTAATCATGGGTCAATTTGTGAAAAAAAGTGTATTCTTTGTTCTTTAGCCTTATTGCCTTTGAATGGGTCATCCAATTCCCTGCAAATTACAATATTATCCCTGCAAACCAAAGTAACACCATTTCATCTAAAGCCACTAAGAGTGACCATCATGTAGAATATGAACAATAATGAATGCTGATAAGGATGTGGGAGAAAGCATCTCTATTACAATATTGATGGGATGAAGATTAGTGCAACTACTAATGAAGTCAGTTCAGAAATTCCTCAACTATCCTATGATCCAGAATGAATTTACTTGAAGGATTTTCAAGTCAGGATACAGTAGAGTCACCAGTATATCCACATTCATTGTTACAATATTCATTACAGCCAAGTAAGAGTTGAGTCTAGTTGAGTTGCTAGGAGACTCAACTACCAAAAATCCAAAAGTGGAGCTGTGGCTCAAATGATAGAGCACCAGCCTAGAGAAGAAGAAAAAATCTAAGAGACAGCACCCCAACTCTGAGTTTAAGCCACAATACTGACAAAAAAATCATGCAAATTGCTTTCTTAGAGAGAAATAGAAAGACTAATTAATGTGTAATCTCTAGTAATCACTAAATAATGCAGTTTTGTATTTATATTACCTGTGAATCAATAATTTGAGAGATTCTGCTTAACCAAATCAGAAAGAATATAAAATGGAAAGACTTAGAAAAAATTGTAAGTAAAGTAAACTAGACCCAAAGAAACATAAGTTGCACTTTTGGAATCCTCCCTTGCATAAACCACACTTTAGGTAACGTGTTGGTGTGTATATACGTATATAACACTATGTTTTATATGTGTTTATAATTTAGACTTTTACATATGAGAAAACACATGCACCCTTTGTCTCTGAGCCTGGCTCCACTTAGCATAATTTTTTCTAGGTCCATCCATTTCCCTGAAAGTGGAATATGGCATATCATTCTATCTAATGGACAAGCAAAATCCCATATATGTATATATATACTTATTTATACATATTATTTATTTATATGTATGTATACCTATATATGTGGATACATACATATAAATAAATATTATTTATATATATAAGTATTTATATATATAAGTATATATAAGCATACATATATATGCATACATATGTCACATTTTCTTGATTCATTTGCCCATTGAAGGGCATCTGGGCTATTTCCACAACTTGTTTATGGTGAATATGTTTGTTTATGGTGCAGCATTGAGCATGGATGTCCAAGTATCTTTAGTGTATCCTGACTTGTAGTCTTTTGGAAAATGTCTAAGAGTGATATTTCTGAGATCCTTTCTTTAATGGAGGGTACATTTAAGCTAAAAATACAAACATTAGTTCCATTTGAAATAAATGACACAAAGACAAGTATTAATGCAATGGTAATATATGGAATTTGGATTTCACAAAGGATCATATTATCAGGTAAGTATTGTGTGGCCTAACAGTATCCTTAATAGAGGACAGAATATGTGTAAAAGTCTATTGGTAGTTCAGGAAGTATGAAGAATTCAGAGATTTAGAATCATGAGTAATTTGGGATACATGGAGAATGGTATTTATGAGGACACACTGGGACAAGGCTAGTGAGAATATAACTTGGTTGAAACAATTTGGAAAGCACTTTGGCAATATGAAATAAGAGCCTCAAAAATATTTCTTGCCTTTGACACAAATCACATCTGCATGTGTATCTTATTAAAAACCAAATGAAATTCAGAAAACAGGATCAAAGATACTCATTAATACAAATTTGTAGTAGGAAAAAATAAGGGGAAAAACTGTTTATATAAGAATGAATAAAAGCAATTTGGGTAATTGAGGAAATATATAACTAATAAAAGCCCATATATGGAGTTCATAATAATACAGGGAATATTTATAATAACTTATTTTATAATACTAAAAGAATGAAATGGGGCTCTTGGAGGTAGATTCAGGTGAATAATCACATTGAAGATGTATGTTACAATTATGGAACAGTCATATCTGGAATATCAACTAAATGCCCATGTGGTAATGGTCTGGTCCCTGACTGACACTCCTGGAAGTCTGTGGACCCTTTAAGAGGTGGGGCCTAATCTTCCAGTCTCTCCTAGGGCCTTGGAGGATAGCAGGACTCAAGCTCCACCCTCTTCCTTCCAGACTCTATGAAGTGACCATGACTTTCTGCCTCACCACAGACTCAAAGCAACAGGACCTATCCACAATGGAAAGAAATCTTTAAAACTGTGAGCCAACATATTGTCTTGTGAGTATTGTGGTTGCATCAACTCCCCGTTTGTCCTTTGTCTCACCATTTTGTTGTTCCCCTTCCCTTCCCTAATTCAGATAAACATAGATAAAATACCCAGGGTACCAAAATCGAATACAGTGACAACAAGGGATAACACATAGAGGGAAAAACACAAAAGAAAAAAGAAATCACATAGTACATTAGAAACAACAAAGTAAAACCTCTAGTTTCCATGTCTTCGAGTTCATTTTGCTTAGCATCATTTTATATGGTCATAGGTACATTAGCTATTGAGCTATTCTGCTTCTCGGCTAGGACAATCCTAGACATATACTACTTATTACAAATGAAGGAAACCATAGGACCTATGTTTCTTGGAGTCTGGCTTACTTCACTTAATATGATTTTTTCCAAGTCTTTCCATTTTCCTTACAAATAGGGTGGTGTCATTCTTTCCAATGGAAGCATAGAATTACATTTTCTTGATCCATTCATCTACAGAGAGGCATCTGGGCTGGTTCCGTATCTTAGACAATAGGTTGGAAATGATCTGTACAACTTGGGGGGAGTTGAGGGGAGGCAAAGCGGGAGAAAATGAGGGAGGGCGTAGCAAGTTCAACAAAACATGTATGCACTACCTTAATTATGTAACTGTAACCCCTCTGTATATCACCTTAACAATAAAATTTTAATAAAATTTTTTAAGAGAAAAAGAAAAACTGTGAGCCACATTAAATCTTTACTCTTGAAAAGTGGATTTTCTCAAGCATTTGATACTGATAAGAAGTTGACTAACAAAACTGAGGAACTCACCACTGAGGATATCCAGATTTTTCCCCTCCCCTGCTGATTCTTCCCCTTTTCCCTTCCTCCTTTCTACCTCCTCTTTTTTTTCTGCTAAGGACAAAATTCACGGCCTTGTACTTACTACACAAGCCTTCTGACTACTGATCTAAAGACCTAACCCCAATATTCTAAATTGTTTTCTGTTCTGCTCTTCTCTGGAAAAGCATACTATTCCTATTACCCTGAAATAGCTCAAGAAAGAAAAGAGAATCATTTCACATTTATTATCCCAGTCAACAAATAAATCTGTCCTTTGTCCAAGTGGACTCTATAACTTCCAAAAAGGCTCTGCTGTGGGAACATGGGGGCAGAGAAATGCCATGGAGAATTGTCTCTCCAAAGTCTTTTTTTTTTCAGGTTTTAAATAACTTTTTAATGTTTTTATTAGTAGTAATTCTTAATGTTGGTTTTAGCAAGGATTACTGTAACAAATACTCAATATCCATAATAGTGTAGAAATGAAAAGCTGACTACAGAATGATTCATACTCCTCTTTCCTATCACCCACAGTGTTAGCCAATCTAGGGGGGTTTCCACACTAACTAGATGGAGCAACTTCTCTGGGCCAGTTTCCATTAAATGACAGGTCAGGGCACATTTATCTGAAGTCTGTTCTACTTTCAATTATAGGATTTAATCATTCCTCTTGCAGGAGTAAAAAGAACTACAAAGGAGTACAATGAGCATTCAAATTATTCTCTTTGAAGGAATTTAGCCAGCTATAATCTTCAAAGTAGATAGTCCAATTAATCAAGGTAAGTGATCTAATACCATTACCTGTGGGCAGACTGATGTTTATAAAATACTATAAAGGAAAATTTAAATAGTTTGAACCTATGACTGTGTTAATTCCACCGAATATTTCTGGAACCAAAAGAGAATTGTTTTGGAGAAACGTGTTTCTAAATTTTAGTAAGTAAAAATCTCTACAAACATTGTACATTGAAGAATAGGTAAGGGAGGCTTACAGGTATACAGTTTATTATTTTCTCCATTCAGACCCTAAGTGATTTCCATTGTACGATTTTACATGAAGACTATGGGTTCAAATCTGATGATAAGATGAGAAATTGTGGTGGTTTCTTTCTGACATTATTTTGAGTGACAACAATGTAATTTTATTCTTTCTGTTTAGATAAGCATGTGGACTCTACAGCTAAGTGTACTGGGGTTAAAGTTTTTCCATTATGTAAAATTGTTCTCATAAGTTCCTTTTTTTCTGGGGCTGGGAAGGTGGCTCAGTGGTAGAGCTCTTGCCTTGCATGCATGAGGCCCTGGGTCAATTCCTCAGCACCACATAAGCAGAAAAAGCCCGAAGTGGCGCTGTGGCTCAAGTGGTAGAGTGCTAGCCTTGAGCTGAAGAGCTCAGGGACAGCACCCAAGCCCGTGACCAACAACAACAAAAAAAGTTCCTTTTTTCTAAAGGTCCAGACTCCCTGACAATTTATTGGAAAACATCTCAGTGTATGTGTACACAGTAACACAGTGATTGTAAAAAATTGGAAATGCACAAATACTTAATTGATGGGTGATTTATTTTGGTATGAACTCTCCCCCAATATTGTTAAACACTTAAACAATTTCAGTCAAGATAATGATGTGAGCTCATAATTACATTGTGGGAGAGACATTGTTATTAGAAGATATAACTTGGCAGCTGCTCATTCAGAGTGTTATTTTGGGGAATTTCTCTGGAGTTTAGGTATTCCTGTTTTCAAAGATAATTCTCACTTTATGAGCTGTTTGGATTGTATGTGAATACAATTGTATGTGAAAATACTAGGCAAGTTTTAACCTGTGTATTAGAAAAGTAAAGATTCACTGTTAAACTGAGTGGCAATTCATATGCAAGAGATGATAAACTAGGCTGTGAGTTATAAATACAGAAAGCAGAGTAGAGGAATCATTAACTCCCCTATTCTACTGAATGTAAAGGAAGGCTAATCTGATGGAATGAGCTAATAGCTAACTTCTTATTATCTTTAACTAGTTGTACAAATATGTTTAAGTAGTTGTACGAAGGGGTTTCAATTCAACATGCCAGTTTGAGTATAATGCATTTTGATCATTCCTTCCATCTTTCCCCCATCTCTCCTAACTCCATCCACAGCTAGTCTTTGATGATCATGGGTTTCAGAAAACAGAGGGAGGGAAGGAGGAAGAGGGGGAATCAGTTTTACTTAGGGTGTTTACGATGGGAAAAATTAGCCAAAGAAGCATGAAAATTCGTACTTCATTGGTAACATTTTTACTTTGACAAGAAATGATAATTCTGTGGTGGTAGCAATATCCCAACTAGTTGATCATTGATGTCTGAAATTTCCCTTTGACAATTATTAATTCCTTTGGATTATTAAGAAAAGTCTCCCTGTGGTACCAAATATATGTCAGTCCTCATTCTTCTCCTGTACGACTACTGACTGTACAATTGCCATACCATCTCCCCTCACCATGTGGATAACCCCATTTATTTAATTCACTGATTTGTCTTTCTCTGAGCACAATTCTACCTGTTGGGTCTGATGGGGAAGTATAACCAATCAAACACAGATTTAGAATAGCCTTCAATTACTTTTTATTGAATCAAAGTGTTCCTGATTCAAATGCAAGCTACCCATTTCATAGGCAGTCAGAATTTTTTAAGTAGCTATGCAGCCTTCATATTCACAGATTGATGTCCCCTGCTGCTTCAGTATGCCATGTGTTATAAGTACCACTTTCTTTTTCAGGTGCTGGGGGCTCACACTTGTAATCCTAGTTACTCAGGAGACTGAGATCTAAGGATCATAGTACAAAACCAGCCTGTGTAGAAAAGTCCATGAGACTCTGATTTCTTATTAACCAGCAAAAAGCTGGTAGTGGAACTGTGGTCAAATGGTAGAGCACCAATCTTGAGTGAAAAGCCAAACAAGAGCACGAAACCCAAGTTTGAGTCCAAATGCTGGCACACCACACAATAAGTACTACATTTTTTTTAAATGTTGTACAAAAATAAAGCAAAAGACTCCTATATCCTAAGACCTGAAAAATCAACATTATCATGACCCACTATTGTCCCACTGTAGGTTGTCTCTTGTGAACTTTTGTTGTTGTTGTTGTTCTTGTTGGTTGTAGGGCTTGAACTCAGGGCTTGGGTACTGTCCCTGAGCTCTTTTGCTCAAGGCAAAAGCTCTACCACTTGAGCCACAGCTCCATTTCCAGTTTTCTGGTACTTCATTGGAAATAAGAGTCTCACAGACTTTCTTGCCTGGGCTGGCTTGGAACTGCAATCTTTAAATCTCAGCCTTCTGAGTAACTACAATCACAGGTATGAGCCACCAGCTGCTAGCCACCTGTGAAATATTAACAACTCAAAAAAAAAAAGCCATCAACAAACATCTCTAGACCAGGTAGGCAGCGTCTTTTCTTCCAAGGGCCATTTGGTTCTAACATTATTCCTGAGCCTAGATTAAGTGAATTTCAAGTTTTGTCTGCAGTTGATGTGGCAGGGTCAGACCAAATGATTTTGCAGGCCTTAGAAGCCCCATAACACAGAAGTTCACTCCCCAGGGAAAGCCTGAGTAAGAAGATGAATAATCTCACAAATCCACAAGATAAGAGCTGTTACCTTTTGTGGATTGTCATTTTCAACACTTTTTTATTTCAAAAGAGGAGCAACTAGTGTCTACATGGCTCCTACAGCTTATAGAGGAGTACAGTGGTGAAAGGAGTTAAGTGGATACAGAGGTGGAAGATGCAGAAATAATGTAAAGGAATTCTAGACCAACGTGGGTGTGGCCCCATGAGATACAGAAATGATTTCTATAGCTATTAATCAAGTATTCACACACTCTGGCAGAATACACTTGCCCTGCCAAGTGGGTAGTCACTTACACTGTACTTTCTTCCTCGCTTAGCCTTTCTTTTGCCCTTCCTCTATTCCTCTTTTCTTCCTTTCCCTTTTCCTTTCCCTTCCCCTTCCCTTTTCTTCCCTTTTGTACCAATGAAGGGTTTGAAAGAAAGGAACAAAATGTTCTGTAGGAAAAGATTATTTTTAATTTCTAAAAGTTGAGAATTTGACTATGCTTACTCTCTTAGCTTTGATATCTGGAAATAGCCATTTTAAATTTAGAAATTTATTTTGCATTATTTTGAACTATTTAGCATTTTTAGAAACAGAAATAGACTTATTTCTTCATTTATTGGTTTTGTAACAAGCCAGTAGAGTTACATGGATTAATATTGCTATCAAAAGTATCTGCCTAGCTGGACACCATTGGCTCACACATATAATCATAGCTACTCAGGAGGCTGAGATTTGAGGATCATGACTGGAAGCCAGCCCGGGCAGAAGAGTCCCCCCCTTTGGGGGGGGGGGGTGTCCGGTCGTGGGGCCTGAACTCTGGGCCTGGGTGCTGTCCCTCAGCTCTTCAGCTCAAGGCTAGCACTCTACCACTTGAGCCACAGTGCCACTTCCAGCTTTTTCTTTTTGCTTATGTGGTGCTGAGGAATCAAACCCAGGGCCTCATGCATGCAAGGCAAGTGCTCTACCACTGAGCCACCTTCCCAGCCCCTCCTTATGAAACTCTTATCTCAACTAAACATTCAGAAGCTAGAAGTGGCACTGTGGCTCAAGTGGTAGAGTGCTAGCCTTGAACACAGAGAGGATCAGGGACGGTGCCCAGGCCCTGAGTTCAAGCTCCACAACTGACAAAAAATCAATCCAAGTATTGGCTTATTGAATCCAGATTTCATCATCTCTCAGATTAAAGAGGTTGAACTAAAAGAAAACTGGTCAGCAAAGAGATGAACAATGCAGGAACTGTTTTCAGTTATTAACTTTTCTAAGTGATTTGTAATGAGAAACCAACCAGGTAAAAGAATACTCTGACAAATAATCATTGTTATGTTTGCTAAATAATAACCCAAACACATACCACCAGTCCTTTATATTCTTATCTTCATATTCTAACATGTTCCCCAAACCCATGTGTGCGTCCATTCTGGTCCACCTTCTCACCCCATCTATCACCAGCATCAGTAATTAATATCCACTGAAGAAAAGAATAATCATCTTTTCCATTAACCAGCAATTAACTTTTCGAATGTATAAATTAGAGTGTGTTTCTTTAAGTTGAGTAGCTGATGTAGCTTTTGAAATTGTCTTTCCCAAAGTTTAGATAAACTTTGTCAGTCCTGTTTTGCTGAAGATGCTTGATTAAAAAAAAAAAAAGTATGGATTCTGAGGCTTTAATTGGGCACTGTTTCTTAATGTTTTTGCTCAAGGGTGTTCTGTTTTTACAGAACTAACAAATTTTATCTGTGTGCATGTATATGCATGTTTTCATAGAACTTATACTATTTATTTGCTGAATGTTATATTACCTAACATCTGTATTGAGTATGTTATCAAAGAGAAGCCAAGAGATATGCATAATTACTTCTCTCTAGTTGAGCATGTAGGATATATCAACTATATACCACTTGAGCCATATTTCTGGCTATATCAACTCTATATCACTTGAGCCATATTTCCACTTTTGGCTTTTTGCTGGTTGTTTTTTTTTCTCCTGGCCATCCCCACCCCCAGAGCTTTCTCTGCTTTGAAGAAAGGAAAAGGGACAAGGCCAGTTCTAGCTGTTGTCAAATATGAATTCTCATCCTCTCTCTTTCCCTCAGGGCTTTAGTTCTGTATACAGATGTGATTTCTTTTTCCCAAGGACAAGAATGAGATTTCACAAGACTAGCAATTTCATTTCAATCTTTCATTGGAACA